GAAAGGGGCCATCACATTACACTGTTGCAAAGAATTTGACTGTACCAGTCCATGCCCTAAGATTTTTGAGGGCTGAAATTAGCAGTGATGGTCTAGTTTATTTGGCAGAAGAAACTTCCAAACAATAAAGGATTCAAGCTACAGTATTAGAGTTACTGGCTACTTTTAGTCAGATTTACAGTGAAAGTCAGAAGCAAAAGGAAATGGGGGTAGAGAGATTTGACAAACTAGCAGCTTGGCCAGGGAAAGAACAGAGAAAAAATGAAGAAGGGTGTGGCTAAGAAAGACAATGTAGAGGTATGGTTTGTTAAAGGGACTGGCAAGGATGTTAATTACGAGGTCTGGACCAAAGCCTTGAGGGCATCTCACAAATCTTCTACACCATGCACCTTCTGTCTGAGGGCCAGAGAAGGTTCAGGATAGTACTGCCTTAGAGACTGAGCCCAGGGTGCTCTATACTGGCTCACCACCCATGGCCACTTCAGGATTTGTTTCCCTATGTTCATCTGGTGAAGTGCTCTCTGGATGCAGGAGTGGTTTAAGCAGGCAAAAGCATAGTTTCTGACAGTGGCAGACTTTTCTGCCATTTACATGGTGCTGATTCTGCAGGTGTGTGCAATGTCAGTGTTATGAGATCATGGTGGCTTCCACCAAGATTTCAAAGAATGCCAAGCAGAAATTTGCTGCAGGCTCAGAACCCCTGAAACAAGCGCCTCGTGAGATGATGCTTAGTGGAGCTATTGGAATGGAACTATGGTAGGGACCCAAGAAAGACAGGGTGACCAGAAACATGTCACAGTTGCCCAGGAAAGCCATGAATATTAGCATGAAGTCACGTGGGCTGTGGTATTTTAAAAAATACTTTGTTATTTTTATTTTATGTGTATGAGTGTTATGCCTGCATGTAGGTAAGTGCACCCACGTCATACAATGCCCGCGGAGGACAGAAGAGGCTGTTGGATCCCCTGGAACTGGAGTTATGGACAGTTGTTGGCTGTCACGTGGGTGCTGGGATTCAAACCTGTGTCTTCTGTAAGAACAGTTAGTGTTCTTAACTGCTGAGCCATCTCTCCAGCCTGGTTTGGTATTTTTAAGACACACCTTTAGGTAACATCCCATGGGCTAGGGTCCAAGCTGAATAAAAAGGGAAAAAGGAGAAAGCTGGCCAAGTACTGGCATTCCCTTTTCTCTGCTTCCTAGTCTGCTGAGCTGTAAGCAAATAGCCTCATATTCCTGATGTCACAACTAAAAGCTGCTGTGGCCACCATACCTTCCCTACCACTGAGGACTATACCCTTAAAATATGAGCCAAAATAAATCCTTTCTCCCTTAAGTTGCTTCTATGCACTACAGATTACCTGCCATCTCCTTGGACTGGACACAATAAGGCTATCACTAGATGTGGCCCCTCAACCTTGGACCTCTAAAACTATGAGTTCCCCCAATATTCTTCATAGAGTAGGCTTGCCTTAGGTGTTTGCCTATAGTAATGAAATGTGGATTAATACACCTTCCTGCTTTAGTTATTGTTTTACTGCCATATTTCACCTCCTTACTTGTACTGTAGTATTTCTCAAGGACAGAGAGTGGATCTTATACTCTCTTGTATCTACACAGTATGTGGCCCAAGCCCTTCATACAAATAAGTTGTTTAACAAATAGGTTTCTTCCGCTGCCCTAATTAGAAATAGCAAGTATTGACTGTTTACTTGAACCTGGATTTTGCTTTTCTGGGAAAAAACAAAAATATTAAATTAAGTATTTCATTTATTATTCCTCATTAAGTTCTTCAAGTCAAGGCAGAATGCCTTAAAATGATCAAACTTAGAAGTAAATGTAACTGATTAATTTATCTTACTGCAATGGCTATTCATGCATTTGAGGTATATTTCTTTTCTTCCAAAAGAATAGAAATTGTTTAAAAGCAAGAGTTCCTATTTTCTAATGTCTTTGTAATAGCACTATTTGTGTGCTCAATACATAGTAAAAAGGTCACTTAATCTTTACCATATATACGGAGAAAATGATCTTAATTTATTAGGGGAAATTCTATAGCGATAAATGGCCAATGTGGTGAAGAGGTGGTACCAGCAATGAAATGGGGGAAGAGGGAGAAGAAACCAGAAAGGCAGGTGGGAAATTATGTTTGTTTGGACTGCACTAAACTTAAGAAAACCACCACACATCCAAGAGGTAGAGATAAGGAGCAGTTCAACACCTAACTCCAGAGGTTAGAGGCTAGCTCAAGTTTATATCTTAGCACATAATTTTGGGAGTCATCAGCATATAGATGAGTTTCAAAGTCACTAGTCCTGGGTGTGATCAACAAGGGAGTAGAGATGGATACAAGACAGACTTATCTTGGGCACTTAAACATTGAGAGTTGGGAAGAAGACCAGCAAAATTCTCTACTGTGTCCCAGAAACTAAGCGAAGCCAGTTTTTCAAGGAGGCAGAATGGTTACAACAAATGCCATAGGAGGCTAGAGTGCTTAGTGCTGGGAGACTGGCTGCCTAGCATACACCAAGTCTTGGGATTGATCCCCAGCATGGAATAAACCGGCGTGGTGGTACACACCTGTAAACCTAGCACTTGGGAGGTGCAGGTAGGAGGATCAGAAGTTCAAGATCATCCTTGGCTATATAGTGAGTTAGAGGCCAGCATGGGAAACTAGGAATTTGTCTCCCTCCTCCCACCAAAATAAATAAATAAGGAAATAAATAAATATGACGATGATAATGCTGTCAGAGAATCAAAGATTTGAGACTCTTAGCTTTGACCATGTTGAGTTGCTGACTTTGATAGACACCTTTGCAGTGAAGCAGAAAGCCTAATTACAGAGGGTTTCCCAAGAGATGAGGAAAACAGAGAGCATAGAAAATCTGAGAAACTTTACATAAGAAGGAGAGGAAAAAAAATGAAAAAACAGTCTGAGATTACAGGATGACAGCAAATACAGGATGACAGCAAAGTTTTCCTTAGTTTTTAAGATGGAAGGTATGTTTAGGTGGCGACAAAAATGATCCAGTACATTAAAAAAAAATTAATGTAAGATAAGAAGAGGGGAGAATAAACACGGAGTCAAAACTCAGGAGAAGATGAGAAGAAAAGGGATCCAGACCAAGGCTGCCACAGTGGGACAACTGGAGCGCTGAAAAAGGAGGACTAAAGGCCTTGGTGGTGCAGATGTGGACAAGAACAGGAGCAAGGGAAAAGAAGGCGCTTTCTCTTTCTTTCTGTCTTTTTTTTTTTTTTTTTCCTGCTTAAAGAAGTCTTACTATGTAGTATAGGATGGACTGGAACTTGCTATGTATCTTAAATTAGCCTCAAGCAAACCTCTTCCTCAACCTTCAGAGTGCTAGGATTATAGCCCAGTGCCTTAAGACTTAGCATTTCTTAGTTTACTGAAATAGGTAAAAAGGTCAATAGATGACTGCGAAGAGAGAAAAGAATAAGTGACAGAGGTCTGAAGAAAAAGGAGCTGCAAAATAATTATCTCGGAATGTGGTGGGAAGCTGCTTGGTGTTGGGGCTCTTAAATTTAAAGGAGACTAGTCAGTTCAAGTACTTAGTGACAGCCCAGAGTAGTTAGAAGGCCAGATTCAACCAGTTTGCTGTTTTATTTTCAAGGTAAGCAGAACGAAGAAAGAGTGCAGTTAAAGATGCATGGAAAGGGGCATCTACAGCAACAAAAAGAACAGCTCACCTAGGCCAGAGGAAAAGGGCACCAAAGAGTGCAAGGAATGGACACTTCATCCTCATGGGGACAACACAAAGTTGGACTGGCAGCTCTAACTACAGGACATTAAAGAAGGAGCCTGAATTGTGATTTTTAAGGAGGTCACATTCAGTTACCAAGTGTTACACTTGAGGTTAGATATAATCTGAAGGTTTCAAAGTTATTTTTATTATTTTTTCTGTCTTTTTTCAATCCATGCCCCATTCTAGCCATATATTGTGTGAGCTATACTTTCTTTTTTTAAAAAATATTTATTTACTATTTTATGTGTATGCGCGTATTGCCTGTGTATAGATAAATGACCATGCCTGTGGAGGACAGAAGATGCCACTGGATCCCCTGGAACTGGAGTTATGAACAGTTTTTAGCTGCCATGTGGGTGCTGGGATTTGAACCCAGGACTTCTGCCAAGAACAACCAGTGTTCTTAACCGTTGAGTCATCCTTCCAGTCCTCTTTAGCTATACTTTAAAAACATAGCCCAAAATATGAACTCTGTTCACTACCACCCTACTCCTCACCTTCATCATCATCTTTTTCAAGTTTGGTCTCCTGGAATCCATCCACTGGTGCTCTACACTCTCTCCACAAATAGCAGGCAAAGCATTTAAAGCAAGTCATACCACTCCCCTCTGAAAGTGCTCCAGTGTTTTCTCATCTCATGTAAAGAGAATTAAAAGTGCTACACAACTCTGTCACTGGCCCTATTTACTCTTTTACTTCACTGACCACTCTCTCCCTGATGTCTTCTGTCTGGTTACACTGGCTGCCTTGCTTTCCCTTAAGCACACCAAAGCCTCCTCTTGTCCTAAAACTCTTAAGCTTGTTCTCTCTGGTAGATTCTTCTTCCCAGCATTCTCACAGGTACTTTTCTTATTTATTCAACTTTCTTCTCAAATGCCATCTCCTCAGGGAGGCTCTCCCTTATCTCCTGAATCCCCACCCCTTCCTCTGCTTTCTCTTCTTCAGAATACTTATCATAACCTATTATATATTTATTTTTTATCTCTTATAAGGTAAGGCCTATAGTGGTAAGAAAAACTCATGATATTTAATACTCAGAATGCTTAGAAAACAGCACATAATAGACTCAATAAATATTTGCTAGATAGAATAAATGAGTAAGAAATATATACAAGATCATTTATTTCTTGACTGGAAGATCTCTAATTTTCTGAAAGGAAATCATTATGAGAATTCATTAGTTCTATGTCAAAAACATATATAAAAAGATTTAAGTTGTAAGGTGCATTAAGCAGTTACCTGATCTTTGAGAAATTTTCTGATGTTTCGATGGGCTCGGGAACACTCTGTTAATAAGCTGAGAACTGGAGTTAAGCCCTCTCTATAGCTGCTTCCCTAAAAGAAAACCATCATGCTGGGTTAGTTTAGGTACCAAAGATGATGCTCCTTTATGTGATCTCAGCATAGGAATACTTTTTTTGGAATATATTCTATGTTGCCAAAGTTTACAAATTATTCTAAAAATTACTTTAAATAATATTTTCATATTCATTTTTACTGCTCCTTCCTGGATTTTCTGACATTTTCTAGGGTTTACCCTGGCTCAGCTAATGAGCTTCAATGAGGTAACCCCACCTATGACATCCTGCTGCCTTTTTAACATAGCTGCCAGACAAACTAACTGAGTGACAGACTAGAGAAAAGTCACACATAGAAAAATGAAAATAAAATGTTTTTAAAGATATGATTTGGGGGGTATGATAATTTTTGTTTCTGGCATTAATTAAAGTATTAGCTTTTCCTTCATTTTCAGGTACTAGTCATGAACTAGGTTGTATAAATATAATTTTCAACATTAAACAGGCTAACTTGATTTCTTTATCAATTTGTTATATATTACAGCAAAATACTTTTAGAGTAAAATTATACTGTCAAGTATAAAAAACAAGCTTAGTTGTAAAAACCATGCTGTGTGGCTTGTTTCTATGCATGGCATATCCAATCTTTAGAAACATCTTCAAGGCTTCTATTTGTCAGCCTTACCTTGTCAATTCTCTTCTCCATAAAACTGAGTAAAACATGAATGGCTTCCATGTTCATACCATTGTATACCATGGTATTATTTTTCAAAACTGTTTCTTTCTCAGCTGTTTTATCACTGGGTAATTCATCTAGAGTCGTTGCCTCTTGGACTGTTTCTTCATGGGTTAATGGACAGATGAGAACATCCAAACAAGAGACCGGAACATTGCTTAAAAGGTTGACTGCATTACTGAAAAGCAATTCAAAAATAAAATATTTTAATTTAATTGAATAGTCCTTTAAAATGCAAACATAATACAAAGTTCAGAGGTGACTGTTAGGAGTCGATTAAAATTTTTCTTTTTCAAAATTAGCCACCAATATTACTTGGCATATGCTAAGATAAAAGAAAGAACTGTCTCAAATACACAGATGACAAATTAGAAGGAAGAGTATTAAATGGACAGACACAATCACATGATGCCATGTCACTTTCTAAACTGCTAAAATAGGAATTAGCGAGCTCTAATGCCAGCTCTTTAATGCTACGACAATGCTTGCTTCCTATTTTCTTCTAGGGGCTTTAAGTCCTTTCTGGATCCACTGTCGTTTTGGAATTCCTTAGATTACAACATAAAGCATTTGAGGAGCAATGCACATAAGCAGCTTATCATAGAGGCAACAACATTAAAAACCAGACATGGTTAGGATTAAGTTTTGTTCTTTCTAGATGTACAAAATACAAATTTTAAGTCATCTTATTTTTTTAATAATACATTTTCAGGAATAAACAATTGCTGCCTTTTCCCTCCTCTCTCATCATCAGTTTCTTTAAATGAGGCCAACAGAGCTATTCTAATCTCCGTCCCCTGGGCCTTTCTGCTGTTTTAAGGAGTACATGAGCCTGGAATGTGTACCAGCAGGGGGAACCCAAACCTAGCATTTCTGGCATTCCCTAAAAACATGGTTTTGCTGCTCAGTATACAAGATATTAAAATGGTACTAAGGGTTAAAACCTAGGCATGTTCTCAACATGCATATTTCCCTCTATGTATTGTTTCATATTTTCATCTAAAGGACAGGTAGTGTTCTTAGGCTAACTGGATCTTAATGGCTTCTACCTCAGGACTTCCTGATAAACAACAATGGAAAGACAGGCATTACATTTCCTAGTGACAGAGAAGCAAGTCTAAAAATAACCACATCCTGACTAAAAATAAATTCTTGCAAATACAATTTAAAAGTCTAACCACTTGGAAACCAGAGTCAGGGCTTAATCCATCTGATGCTGTCTTAATTTAGACCACAGTAGTCTAAAATTTAATTTACAGTGATACCCTAAAAAATAAAACAAACAGAAAAACAATACAGAAGTTTTTCTTTCCTTTATTTGGAGGTATGGTTCTATTTCTCTATGAATATAAATACTTCACTCTTTCCCTATCTTATGGAAAAATAAAAATTAGTAAAAAATCCATTATAAATTAGGCAGTTCAGAAAAAAATGAGCAAGAATGAATACAGCACCAAAAAATGTAAACTGTGGGCAAAAAATAATTTAACAAGTATTATGAATAAATGGTTCCTGGTAAAATACAAGTTACTTCGACCCTCACTAGAGCTATTACTATAGACCATCTCTAAGTTTGGTTATTTATAGGTACTCAAGGCAGCTAAATATACTACTTTTCACACAAAATTTTTGCAAACCTCTGTAGTTTTTAATTTAGTTTCAAATGGCTCTATTCTCACTTAAGCATTTGGAAATTGTTATTAAATACCACAGATTCACTGGGGAGAAAAAAAGAACTTTACCTAAGAATTACTTTCTAAACTTGTACAAGTCATTCTGAAATGTTAGGATTTTTTCCTCTAAACATAAGGCATCAAGCTCTGGAGTCTATCAACAACAGGATTCTCTAAATCCACCACAGACCAGACTGAAAAGTTTAAGACGGCCATTCCATTACCAAGGAATGTTTTCCCTTTAGATTCATTTAAAGTAAGAGTTTCCAGGAATCCAGCAAATTTGAGAAACCAAGTGTAGAGCTGGAATCAACAAATATTTGGAGGTTTCTGGTTTTTCAAGGAAATTCCCATTTTCTCATTTCTTATTAAAGAACTCAGTTCTCAAATAACTACAAAATTAATTTTCTGGCTCACTGTGTTTGCACTATTCTTTTAAGTAAGGAAGGCCAGCTTTTGAGCTCTGTCACTTCTCTGACAGTTTTATTTGTGGTAGATGAGTGTATGAAATTCTCCAGCTACCAGGAAGTCAGTGATGATGCACAGATTTGCACAATGGTGTTTGCATTCCTACTCCAGGGGGTAGAAATACTGTGTATATTACTCTCTCCTTTTCAGTCCCTAGCGATCATTAATCACTGCAACATGACATCCCTAGCCCGTGCTCCCAGCCCCCTCCTGACACGCAGATTCAAAAGCAAGGCCTACTCAAGGCTCCTCAAAGCCTTGATTAAAGGCTTGTTAGCTGTGGGAAGGGAAGATAGTCTAAAATCTAGTCTTCCATCAATTGCTGACCTGAACACAATTCAATCCAAATGACACTGAGGAGCATGCTAACGGCCCATGTTGATCAATAGTTGTTAATGAATCTTCTGATCTAATCTGATCTAATGTATTTTCTTTATATTCTAGGCTTACACATCTTTTCTTCGAGGCTGGAAAGAAAGCCAGTTGAAACAAATCTTAAAATTTCCCAAAGATTACCTTGGTTCTATTTTTTTTTTAAAGTGTTTTTTAAAAAACAATTGTGTGCGTGTGTGTGTGTGTGTGTGTGTGTGTGTAAGAGCACTTAACTATTAAGATCTACCCCTTCATCAAAGGTTAAATATGTAACAGTATTGCTAACTCTACTCTTCTACAGGAATCTTAAGTCAGAACCTACTCACTCTGCATAACCCAAACTGACTCTAGGGACACCTCTCAACACCCCTCCCTGGCAGCTACTACCCTACTAACTAGTTCTACGAGCTTCTCTACTCTAGATGCCTCATAAAAAGGGGACCATGTGGTATTTTTCCTTTCATATCTGGTTTATTTAACTTTTTATAGTGCTTTCTGTATGTACATTCTTGCAAATGATAAGATTTTTCTTTTTAAAGGCTGAATGATATTCCATTGCATATAGACATACTCCCCACATTTTATCCATTTATCTGTTGACAGACATTTAGGTTGTTTCCATATCCATGTTTTTTTTTTTTTACACTCTCTCAATCTCTCTCTCTATCTCTTTATTTCCATTAGTGGGGTTGCTGGATCAAACGGTAATTCTACTTTACATTTTTAGAAGAAACTCCATACTGTTTACATACACAATGGCTATACTAATTTACAATGCTATGAAACACTATATAAAGATTCTCCTTTCTCCACCTCCTCACCAACACACTGCCTTTTTTTTTAATAGCCAATTTAACTGATATGAAGTGGTATCGTACTGTGGTTTTGATTTGCATTTTATTAAATATTAGCAATATTGAGTACCTCATCTGTATATCTTCTTTGGAGAAATGTCTATTCAGACCCTTTGCCTTTCCTTCTTCCCTTCCTCCCCTCATTTTCTCTACTTCCTCCCTTTCTCTCCCTGTCTTCTTGGCTATTGAAGAATCCTAGCACTCAGGAAGCTAAGGTAGAGGGATTATAAATTCAAGACTACCTTGGGCTATACAGTGAGTTAAAGGCCAGTCTGGGCTACAAAGCAAGGCACTGCCTCAAAAACAAAACAAAACATTCCACATATACATATATATGTATATATGTATTTGTTACATAGATATACTTATTACATTTTATTATAGATAGACAGATAGATGATAGATAGATAGATAGATAGATAGATAGATA